TAAAAGTGGGCCCTCTGTCTTGCCATAGTGTAGGAGTAACCTCAGCAGCAACCTCTTATCCAGAACTCCAGTCAGAGTGGAGGAATTTTGTTTTACACATGTTTGACCAACATGCCAGAAAAGCTGGCATGCAGATGTGAGCTAAAAAGTGTCCGTTTATTGATTTAGTGTGATTGTAATAAGAACTGAGCCCGTGTAGAAGCAAATAAAGCCCTGTAATCTAAGTTTTCAGGGCTTTGGAAACCTCTCTGGTGGAAATGTGTAATTGCAAAACTCGATGAAGGACGTGTCTTTTGAAAGTATGTGAATTACCCACTATTACTGTGTTATTGTTGAGTTCTCCTGACATCTGCCAAACCCAGATTTGTCCATCAGACTGCCAGACAGGGAACCGTGATTTAGCACACCAGAGAATGTTTCCACTGCTCCAGAGTCCAGTGGCGGTGTGCTTTACACCACTCCAGCCAACGCTTGGCATTGCATAAAAATAATGTGGTCTTAGGCTTTTATGCAGCTGCTCGGCCTTCGAAACCCATTTCATGAAGCTCCCGATGCACAGTTCTTGTGCTGATGTTGCTTCCAGAGGCAGTTTAGACCTCTGTAATGAATGATGCAAGAGAAGATGAGTGATTTTTATACGCTATGCGTTTCAGCACTTGGTGGCCTAGTCGCTTCCATTTCACAATAATAACACTTACAGTTGGCTGGGGCAGACCTAGTTCACCAACTGACTTGTGGCAAAGGTGGCATCCTATGACAGTGCCACGTTTGAGCTTGGCCCCTTTCACTGTTTGTCAATGGAGACTGCATGGCTATGTGCTTGATTTTATAGACTTGTTATCAATAGGTGTGGCCTAACTCAATAACTAGGAGAGGTGTCCACAAACTTTTGGCCATATAGTGTATCTTCATCAGTATAATGTTGATTTTGCATTTGAGATCCAAGCATCGAGCCTGACCTCCTCGCATTAGTGTGATTCGAGGAACTCCAGCAAAATCCGACCCGACACCTCTGACTTTTAAATGATCATTTCAGGCTTCACAGCAGTGGTCAGCAACCCTGGTCCTGGAGATCTGTCTACCTTATTTCCAACCACAATCTGCCACACCTGCTCCAGCTAATTAACTTCTTCAGATGTTCTTTATTAGTGGGCAGTATGCAGTTAGATGTCCGTGTACATCTCCAGGAGGAGGGTTGGTGTCCTCTGCTTTACAGGGCAACTCAGTAGTGCTACTTCTTTAAGTTTTAACTGAAAAATCGTACATAATGGAAAAAAAGTCTGACCAATAACATAGTTTCACCAGGCACCGCAAATACTGCAAATCAGGTCTGGTTTTAAACCTACAGGCCTCAAGGTCTCCTGATCTCTACACCCACATGTGGTTGACGTCACCAGATATGGACAGAGGAGGACTTCAGGGCTTATGGGCTTTTTGGAACAGGCCTAGAATAACCGCAAAGCTAAGCTACTCTGAATTTGACTACAGTAGAGTTTCTGATCTACTCTAAAGGTGTGCTCAGCTAATGGCATGTCTGGCTACAATACACCAGAACCTATTGGCAGGACAAGAGTTGAAGTCAACTTTTATTTATATAGCCTTTTATAACAGGTGTTTTCACAAAGCAGCTTTGCAGAAAAATCAGGGTCCGAGCCCCCATGAGCCTCGCCAGTGGTGACAGTGGCAAGGAAAAACTCCCTAACAGCAAAAAGAAGGAACCAAGACTCAAAAGGGGAACCCGTCCTCCTTTGGTCGACACCGGATAGCAAACAGAAAATAAGGTTTGACCATCAGATTAAGATAAAGAAAAAATTAATGCTGAAAAGGTCTTGATTTTGCTGAAGACTCATTCTATAGATTATTCACTATACATCCAAACTGAACTAGAGCTGACTCCTCGGCTAGGACCTCGTCAAGATTGGTCAGTTATGCCACTAAGAGTTCATCTGCTCTCCTGCGAAGACCACCTTAAAATGTCTGAAAATGATCCTGTCTATATTTCACCCACACAGACTCCACTGTCCCCCAAATTTACAGAATGATGATGCTTTTTGGATTTCTCTGGCTGGATTATCAGACTGATGGCTTTGATATGTGAATATATTTAAAGTTATAGTTCAAAATGCATAATGCATAATTTCAAAACTGTGTGTGTTTTTGGAGCAACCTTTGGTGTCACTGGGCAGTCACCCAGGTATGGTATGGTATGGTATGGTATATCTGGCCATGGCTTTTGGTTTCTTTGTATTGTTTTTTTTTTTATCTGTTTTCTTCTGCCTTGACAAACTGAAACATGTAGAAGTCTTTATAACAGCAGATTTGACTGATACCATCTTATTTCACCAGAAACAGGCCAGAGATCACTGACTGCCCACAGATAACCAGTCTTCCAAAACAAAACAACAGCAGGAATGTAAACATGCAAAACATGGAGTTTCAAAGGAGACGCCCATGCAAAGCATCTGAGTGCTCGGATCTTGTTTTTATGCTCGTCAACGTACGCATATTTGTGACATGTCATAATTACATAAGAAATCAGGTGCCACACCTCTGTACTATTAATAGCTCACTGATAATCAGCTCTGCGACTGTTTGTACTAAATAGAAATTATTGTTATTTTTATTATTATTAGTAGTTGTTGTGGTATTGCAACGACATTTAACAAAAGCAGGTCCTACCACAGCTTTAAAATGAAGATTTGAACTGAACATTCACATCGTTTAATACACAGTTGTCAGGTTACTCTCTACAAGGTGCACCTACATCTACTCACTGCCCATTTTATTAGATACGCTGACCCTGGTCATTTGACCCTGGTTTCTTGACTTTCTAAGTGAAAATAAGTTCACACATCCTCTACAGACATCTGCACACTGTAAACTACTGTTATGATACATTGTGGATCATTTTATATTTTACGCTTTCTTTTTTATTTGGAAATTAAACTATGCAAAAAAAAGGACATTAACATTCAAACATATAAGTCGACTGGAATGTGTTCAGACTCTTGCATATGAGATTAGATTAATAGATTAGTTTCTGTTAATTAGATTAATTAGATTAATTCTGTTCTCATTGGCTTGCCTTGTTCAAAAAACAGTTGAGACTGAAACACCCTTTATAACTTCAGTGTGAGTGGGCTGGGGCAATTGAAGGCCGATTGTGTCACAGCGGTGCGACTAGACTGTCCCATTTAGAAATCCAACGGGTGGATCCTTTGCCAGCCAACATGTCCCGAGGTTCATTGTGTGCCGCCAGAGATTCGAGAACACGGTGGCGTCAGCAGAAGAGGGAACGGCGGCTGAGGATCCACTTTACATACATGTATTGGGTTTAAACTCGAATAGCTAACGATACAAATGTAAAAAAAAAAATAAAAAATGTGGTCTGAAGCAAAACTTATACTAACATTTCATTTTGTTTTAGGGAGCAAAGAGCAGACAGAGAGAAGCATTTCCAGCTCTAATAAATAAAAAAAATAAATAAATAAAATAAAATCAAAGTTTGTGGCTCCGTCTTTAAAGAACTTTAAAATAACTTGACATGAGCGACATTTCGTGGTGCACCGGTAAGGACGGGAACAGTGCTGCTGTGACGCCAACAGGAAATCCGCAGTAGAATAAACCGTCTCATTTCACTTCAGGTTTCGTGGGTCTACACAGCCTTCGAAGACACACACCTTCATAGACTGTGGCCCTTGAAGGATGCAGCCCCTGAATTGGGACACAGTGTACGAGTAAGCCCTTTTCACAAGAAACAGTGAAAATGCTGGGTAAAACTATTGCCTTACAGACAGTTACTAACCTCAGAAACACTGCCGTTTGTATCACTTCAGCTCACCACAGAAAGGTGTGTCACTTTATCTTTGTCATAGTTGGCAAGATTAGAATTCGAGGATGTGTCCAGAATTGATTGGAGTGCACCAAACATACAACAATGCGGGAGTCCAAACTTAATAAAGGATATAAATGCTTAGTGGAAAAATTCCTTGAACGAACAGCTACACACTGAGCACTCGCTTTCTCAGATGCCGACAGCTTTTGAGGGATGAAAACTGTTTCTCTGAAAGCGGCTGTAGCAGCAACTTTAAAGCTGAACTGCACGCTAACGTTAGTCAGCAGCTTGAAATGCTGACACAGAGGTTCTTTTCCTCCGTATGACGAAATTTATCCTTAGACTCATTTTTCCTCTGCTCATGGTCAGTGGACAAACCACTGAAACTGAGATAAGGCCGTTCTTGCTTCAAACTCGAACACTTGAGTAAGCTGTACACGCTCTACTCATCATCGTTGTTAAAGGGCCTGTCGGATTTGAGCTGAGTAGCTAGTGAGCTGTTAGAGAAAACTCTGCTTAGTGCTGTTGTCGGAGGGAAACCTCGTATCTCCTTTTTTTCACATTTTTCAGTTTTTGACATAATTTGAAAAAACTGTTACCCTTTATATTGTTTCTAAGCTTCATGATGAATGGACTAAAATAAACGACCCAAAAAAGGTCTGGTTCCATTGACTTACATTAAAAGTAAAGCATGTTTTTTCCTTCTCCTGTAAAGTTACCATTTTGGAGATGTGAGGTTTTCTTCCAACAACTTATGTGCAAAGTAGCTGTGGCCAAATACAGCTGGAAAATAGAACCCATGTCTTGTGCGAAAGCAGTGCCACTTTTAAATAGCGGTGAATATTAATGCGTGGGAACGAGATCCTAATGTGTGGCCACGACTTAGTAAGGCATGGGAATGAGATGATTAAGTCGTGGCCACGACTTAGTAAGCCATGATCTCGTTCCCGCGCTTTACTAAGTCGTGGCCACGACTTAATCATCTCATTCCCATGGCTTACTAAGTCGTGGCCACGCATTATTTTTATTTATACAGGATGTCACCAGCGGGGCTCCGTAGGGGTAGGCTTAAAAGACAGTCTTCGAAAAAAAGGTCTTGCCTGGGGGACTTTTATTTTGAAGCTCGGTCCCGCTGCCATGTTTTAGGGTCCCTTCACTGCTTCAGTCTTCGCTGCTTTAATGGATGTGGACTGTGTGTTTTTTTCCTCTCTAACAAGGTTGAAATATCAGAGAGGCAGATGTCACCCGTCCTGGGTGATTTAATCAGCGATTCCCACACGGCCAGTCTCCTTTTTCTGGACTGTATTCGTGCTTAAAGTGGTCTGTGTGTGTTTAAAAGATAATAACGCTTAACTGCTGCTGCTGCTGCTGCTGCTGTTGTTGTTAGCTGGGCTGGCTAACTCCAGCAGCTCCATTAACAAGGGCTTATTATGTACTTCTGACCCAGCTATCCTGAAGATATCTGCCCTTATAGTACTTATTTCATTGCCTCTGTCGTCCGTTTGCGGTTATTCGATAGGCTTGGCTCCGGTAACCTTGAACGAAAACAGCCTCGAAGTAAGTTTAGTTAGTTAAGCAGGTTAGTGAGTTAGTTTAGTTGTGTTGCCCAGGAAGGATGAGCAGGAAACACCACCAGTTCAAAGGAGCTGAAGTGAGCTGCTGTGTCAAATACTTTTTATTCGGATTCAACATCATATTTTGGGTAAGTGTCTTGTGTTTTTTTTGCTTCTGAATAACGTACAGCTGGGCCATGTAACAGTATTTATCTTTATGGTGCTAAATAACATCACAGTATGCTTTGCTGAGCATGTCGAGTACATTGTACATATAAATATATGTGTGTGTATATGTGTGTGTGTGTGTGTGTATTAGTATTTAAAATCACTGACCAACTACTTGTTTCACTAAATAAGAGCATCATTAGTCATGTTTAGCTGGATTAGGTCCAGTAGTGATGGGCAATATGAGGATATTTTATCATTATCGTGATCAATTCTGTCACAGTTTTCTAAGCAATCGTGGATACAGTCAGTATTTAAACTAACACTAACTACATGTTTTATTACAGTGAGCTTAATTAGGCCTGTTTAATTGGATGCAGCGCAGTGCAGTTTGTAAAACATTGAATAAAAGTCATCGTAGTTGTTGGGTTATTATTATTATCATTATAGGATTATTTATATGTGGCTCTACAGGTTCTATTTTGTCTGATTTCAACATATTAAATCTGAGAAAAAACTGAATATCGTCGTAAATACTGGCTTGAGGTATTGTAATATTTTGGCTGACCCCTACAGCTGTGTGTGAAATGCTTAATACAAATCACTGGATACATAGTTTCATATCTTTCTTGGCAGAAATACAGTATGGTGATACTGTAAGACATACAGTACATGATCTGCATCAGAATGTGTTGTTTTTCAAAGTTTAATGAGTTGGAATAGACAAAAAAGAACCAGCAGCGCCACATTTTAAACAATATTATCAAAAAGTACTAGGAGTGCCTCTATAGTGATACCAGAAACATGTCGGCAAATATTGGCTTAAAAACAAAATATCGGTGTCGGACAGATGTTTAGACTCGACAGATGTTTCAGACTTGACAGACGTTTAGACTTGACAGATGTTTCAGACTGATAATTGTCATGCTGGCCTTCCCTACACTCCTACACCCTTTAGAAACGGTTCTTCAAGGGTTCTTTAATAAAGAAAGTGTTTCTGTATACAACCATGAACACTCAAAGAACCCTTTTCATGATTAGATTGTTCTTTGCATCATGAAAGCGTTCTTCAGATCAATGGAGAATATGCTATAGATGGTTCTACACGCTTTAAAAAATGCTAGCATTTCGAGGGTTTTTTTAGTAAAGAAAATGGTTCTATGTAGAACCATGAACACTCAAAGAACCCTTTTTGTGATTAAATTGCACTTTGCATTGTGAAAACGTTCTTCAGAACGATGGAGAATGTGTTGTAGATGGTTTTATATAGATCCTTTTAAAGAGGGTTCTACGTAGCACCAAAAAGGGTCCTTCTATTCGTATGACGTCAAGCTTGTAACAACAGAAGAACCCTTTTTGGTGCTATATAGGACCCTTTACTAAAAGATTCCGTATAGAACCATCTGCAGCACATTCTCCATCAATCTGAAAACCTTGCATGATGCAGAGAACCATTTCATCATGCAAAGGGTTCTTTGAGTGTTCATGGTTCTATATAGAACAGTGTTCTTTGGCTTTATATACATCAAAACTGGGCTTGCTCTGAAATAATCCACTGATAACTGATAGTCCAGTGCACTAAGTGTGGTGAAGTGTTTTGGTTCCTGGACGCAGTAAGTAAATAAGGATCCCGAGTCGCTTGTAAAGGGATTGGAAAGTTCCTGTCTGCTGTGAAGTGGTGGGTCCAGATTAACCTTAACCTCTGCTATTTTCAACCCTGGCAGCTCCGCTGAGAAATTAGTCGCGTCTGCTCCAAACTGGATTATCCAGGCTGAGTTCAGAAGCACTGCGGAGCTTTACTGCGAGAAGCCCCTTCAGATAATCCATATTATCATAATCCATATTATTGTATTGCTCTGCCCTGATGCGCTCGATCCCAAGCTCTTTCCACCATCAGCGTCGGCTCCGTACAGAGACCTAGCTGCGGAAAACTGATTTTCCAGATGCGCATCGGCCGACGGGAAGTTGTGCTTTCACTAACGGAACTGCCAGATACAGCAAATACATTTAGCATGTGCTTATTTGCTGAAGCAGCAGTGTTGCTGTAAAAACGCTGCCCGAAAACAAGTTTGGGGACACCTTGTCTTCTTTGGAAATTTGAATGTCTTGCTGTCACTTAAATAGATAAGACAAAATACACGCATATAATCTGAAGTTTTGCTTATCAAAAATCATAATAAAACCAATCTGGTTTAGTAGCAAACTTAATATTCAGACTGCTGTTGGCAGCTCTGCCTAATTTTTGCGACTTTTCAGTTCACGCTCAGACGAAAACCAAAAGAAAGGTTTCTTTTGAGTAAATAATTTGCTGTTTCATTTGTGCCCTTTGAATTAACTTTATGTTGACGATGCTTCCGAGGCAGTAATTGCTGTGATGAAAAAAGAGAACTGAGAGAACTAGATTTAATCTGTTTGTTCGTTCAGTAATATTACAGGTCAAACATACTAACCTGGCAGGGGCGACACCATGATCACCAAGGTGGTTCACCCAGGGCGAGGCTCGGCCATTTTACTCCGGTTGTGCTGACCCTTACGAATTCCCCAAATGCGTGAATCTCAACTGCATGATTTCTGGTTGTGGGGGCTGCGTTTGCGCTCTCCCCTGATTTTTGGGGGTAGTTGTGGGCTGGAGGTTAGGGAACCAGCCCTTGTGATCGGAAGGTTGCCGGTTCGATCCCCTGAGCCAACAGTACGTGATTGAAATGGCCTTGAGCAAGACACCTAACCCCCAACTGCTCCCCGGGTGCTGTGGATAGGGCTGCCCTCCGCTCTGGGCAAATGTGCTCGCTGTGTAAAACATGTGGACGTGGAACGCACAAGTTCTTCAGCACTCCAGTCACTTTAGTGTTCGTCTTTTAGAGAGGAAACAGCCGTAAACCTGAGGAGGATCTAACACCTTTACAGTAACACCTGTCAAAACTAAAGATGTTGAGTTGCTCAGTGTTATTTATGTGATTTTTGTGAAAGAATTTCTTTAAAGTAGTTAATGCTAAAAAAGCAGCCAAGGCCATATATGTGTTTGTTTTTCATCCCAAATTTTCTGCCTTTTTTTTCTTTCAAGCGAAAACCGAAAGAGCCCATTTTGATCGTTTTCGGTGGCCAAAATTTCATCATTTCAGTTTTTCGCTTGTATTTAATTCGACAGCTGGACAGAAGCCTGACTACTGTCACCCCAAAAGATTAGACTTCCATTGCTTTTCAGCTACATTAGCCTCGTGCCTCCAGTGCAGAACTAAAGAAGCAAACTTCAGACACCAAACGCGTCTTGGCTGATCGACTACGCTTGGGTTAAACGTTGAACTGTTCCCATTATACTTTGTTATTGACAAAGGAACGGTGTTGATATGTTCTAAAGGCCTTTTGCAGAGCTAGATGTCCCCAAACTTTAGATGAGCAGGGTAGATGTGATGGGTTAGGAGACTGTTTGCAGCGTAGACCACAAGGATTGGCGTCTTATTGGATTACAGGAGTCATGATTTACTCAGTGTTTATACAATCTGAGTCAGTCTAAGGGAGTGAAAGTCAGTATCTTGGAAATCCTCCGTGTCCTGGAAGAGCCTCGTTTTCTCATAAATTCCAGCTAGCTTGTGGTGTTGTCTCTTGTTGTTGGGTGATGAATGGTATCTGTTGTGTGGGCTTGGTGAGTAACCCCCTCTGGAAGGCGTGGCGCTGATTACCACCCCCACCGCTCATTAATGCTGCCTGCCAGCAAATGTTAACCTTGCATAATGTTATACTGAGCGTTCCATTGTTAAAGGAAAATGAAGACTTTGTGTAAAGATCCTATACAGGGAGGCCAGATGAGGCCAGCTGGCTTCGTTCTGATCTTCTGATATCTCCAAATGTAAGCCGTGTAGCTGAAAGCAGTAGCCTGGATTTCGTGTGTTCTTTTATCTGTTTTTATGGATGTGTGTGTTGTGTGTCACACAGTATCTGGAACTAGTGAGTGGAACTTCTTGGGCAAAACCAAAACCAGAATTCAGCACACAGACCGAAAAATTTTGCCTAAATTAGCCTTTTGTTACGGTTGCGCAGTGTGACCGTATTTATCGTTATCGTGATTGAATCACATCACATTAAGCCACAGTATCGCTGCTCCGAAGAAAACCTTGTATCTCCATTTTTGTCTTTTTTCAGTTTTTGACATAATTTGAAAATCCCTGTTGCTCTTTACACTATGTGTAAATTTCATGATGAATGGACCAAAAGAAATGGCCAAAAAAGACTTGAGAAAAATTCTGGTTCCATTGACTTACATTAAAAGTAAAGTAGGTTTTTTCCTTCTCCTGTAAAGTCGCCATTTTGGAGATACAGTGTTTCCTTCCAGTAACAGTGATATGCTTTTCTGAGTATATCGTGGATCCTGCACTTCCAAGTCTCTTGTTCTCATGTTGAAGAAAAGCCTGCTGTGTTTTGCTGAAACTTAATCTTGGAGTGCAGCAAACTTTTTTCCGAGCTTTTGGGTCAAGACTTTCAGGTTGAGCACCACAACTTGAAAATCAATCGTCCTTTGGATTTTTTTAACAGTGGAGGCTAATGGCACTCTTGGCTGCTCCTGGCTGAGTGTGTTCAGAGCCATGCAGGAGTCGCTGACATTCTCTAGTGGTTCTTGTGTTTCAAAACGTATACATAAGGAAAATTGCCTAGACTTTTCAAAAGTTTTGCGTAGTGAAATGGCTGAGATGTAAACAAACCCTTGTGAAAACAGGGTGGTTTGGTGTGAAATGGTTCATTGTAGAGAAACTTACAGACTCAGGTTCCTTTACAGTCGTGGTGATAGGAACCAGACATCACAATGTCTACAACACTAATATAGCCATTTTATTTACTCTCCAAAACCACCAGTGAACCAACACGAATCTTCTGAGTGTTTATATGTGATGTAGATGATGGTAAAATAGTGGAAAATCTTTTTTTCTTTTTTATTTTTTAACTATTTAGCTACACAACACCCTGCATGCACCGCTCAGCCATAAATAGTGTTAAAAATACATTTCAGTCCAAACTCTTAGCTCAACAATATTGTAAAACAATGCCTCAGACTTCAAACAGGGTATTCAGCACTGTTTCATGTAATAGCTCTCTGTGAGGGAGCTAACTGATAAACTAATGACAAAGAAGCAGATATCCAGTAAGATTTATTATTGTCGTTGATTGTGGCAACGCCGACCCAAAGATACGGACGAAAGAGGATGCAGCAAACATAAGGAGTATACGCTATGAAAAGCATTCAGAATCTTAGAGCTCCCACCCCTGTTATCACATGATGCACGGAAAGTTAAACTGGTCTGGACCTGTTTGTGCTTTTATGTACTCACAAAGAAGTGTAGCGAAACGCAAACTGGGGATGAATATGACGTTGAAATGCAGATATCACAGTCAGAGCTGGAGAAATGTTTTACTGTGTGACTTTAGATTGTAGAGAAGGTTATTTTTATGAACTCGGCCGGCAGCTCCTCTGTCTCCACAGTCTGCAGGACTCGCGAACGTTTTAAAAATCAAACGTTTGAAAATATCGCAGGGCCTCCGATCACTCTGGAGTTTGATCAGAAGACTAATGCATCGTCATTGGCTTCCAGTCGAGCTCCCCACCTGGAAAATCCCTTCAGATTGTGTGTCAAAAGGGGCCAGTGAGGCTTAAAATTGGTCTGAAAAATCTTGTAATGTCAGCCAAGCTTAACTGAGTAACTGAAATACCCAAACAGGTCCTGTTGATACAAAAGAAGGCCAGATATTTCCTTACATTGTCTTCTTAATCAGTTTGTTACTGTTTCTGTGCTTCTTAGTTGGACTGTTTGAGCCCCCGGAGCCCCCAAAGGAAACACTCACGAGTTTAAAGTAAAATATTCCAATATTGGTGTCACGCAGCAGTAGTTTCAGCTGTATTAATATATAACAAAACTAGTTCACTTCAAAAGATCTAATTTGCTGGATGGTTCAGATTCAACTTGCAGATATTTTGCAAGAACTGTTAAAAACCTAAAAACATATAATATTATAATAAATAGTGTTTAATTTTTAGAAATGTCTCTTTTTTTCAGACAAATTGCATTAGCACATTAATATTTGGTCAAATAAAATACAGAGTAACGTGTTTATTTCAGAGGCACTCTGAGTTAGAAGTTCCACCTGCTTAGCTTTTTCCTCAGTAGTATCCAATACTGGTGCTCCTTTGGACTCGGAGCGCATGATCCATGTTTTCAGACTTATTTCTAATGCTGGTGTGAAATCCTGAATTCTGCGTTGTTTTGACTTAAAACATTGTTAGATTGTACGTTTGTTGGATTACCTGCGCTGTGATTGGTTTAAGATGCCCACAGAACACAGCAAACAATTTTGTGATTGGCATCCAAAGAATCTAAAGTACTTTACTAGAACAAGATCAGCTGTGAGGCCTTTAATAGAGCGTGAGGCCTGTTGTCAGGAGATTGCAGTTTCAGTCCCTCGTGATGCCGCAGCCATGCTTGGCCAGAGCATGCCGCCACTGGACTCTGGAGCAGTGGAAACATGTTCTTTAGAGTGATGAATCACGCTTCACCATCTGCCAGTCTGGTGGATGAATCTGGTTTTGGCAGAGGAGTGCGACTTACCGGAATGCTTTGTGCCAACAAGTAAAGTTTGGTGGAGGAGGGATAATTGCCTGGGGCTGTTTTTCAGGGTTTGCGCTGCTTAGTTCCAGTAAAGGTTAATGTTAATACAGCACACAGACATTTTAGACAATTATATGCTTCCAGCTTTGAGTCAGCGGTTTATAGAAGACTTTTTCCTGTTCCAGCATGACTGAGCCCCTGTGCACAAAGTGAGCTCTATAAAGACGTTTAACGAGTTTGGTGTGGAGGAACTCCAGTGGTCTGCACAGAGCCCTGACCTCAACCTCACTGAACACCTTTGGGATGAACTGTGAGCCAGGCTCACGAATCCAACATCAGTGCTTGACCTCACAAATGCTCTTCTGTCTGAATGGGCACAGATTCCCACAGACACACTCCAAAATCTTGTGGGAAGCCTACATAGAAGAGTGGAGGCTGTTATAGCTGCAAAACTCAGTATTAGGCCCAATCCCATTTCTTCTTTTTACCCCTACCACTTGTTTTTCAGTGTCGCCCTAACCCCTTGGAACTGAGTTACAAGGGGTAGTGGTTGAAATATTGCTGTACGAAATGGGACAACCCTCAAATAAATTAAAAAAGAACATTATTTCATTAACAGGCTACTAGCGCTGCTCGGTAGGCGACCCGGCCCGACTTCAGTGATTGCAGAGAAGAAAAAAGCTCAGCAACATCACTGCTGGGCTTTAGTTACATTTAGGGCATCATATCCTTTCACAGAGGGGGTTTAAGACAATTATTGATCATCACCCACCACTAATTCTTTGGTGATACGAAGCTGAAGTCAGCTGTTCACCAGCTTCTTGTTCGAATTTTCCCGTTCCACCTTAAATGGTGCAGCAGCTACATTGTGGTGCTTCAGGCATCAGAACTGCTGGTCTATTTAAGGTGGAATGGGAAAATTAGCTAGCCAGCTACCGAGACAGTGGCTTGCTGTTAGCGATTTTTTCCTTACCCCTCTATCTCAACAAAAATTGGGACACCCTAACCCTAGACG